TTTTCCAAGGCTCCCCCAGGGGGTTTTCCAGGGCATCCAAGGTTCATAACTGCTCTTCTAGGGAGTCGGTGAAGATGCCCGCATACCCCTCTCTTCTGGGTCGGGGGGTGAGGAGTGGAGGCGGGTGAGGTTGCACAGAGCTCCCAAGTGCTCAGCCTGCCCTTGGAGAAAATGACCTGAAAGCACTAGCCGCAAAAAATACCCCCGATACAGCTTTTCGTAGACTGAATGAATATGCAGTCAGTGTGATTGGCTTTAAAGGTGGCTTTTAATGCTGTATTTGTTCCGCAAATGTAGGCATTCACACTACACAAATATTAACTCCTAAATTCTCCAAGCTTTTCCCCATGACACACCACCTGGCAGGCATTATTGTAATCAGCTCTTTATTATCATCCGCACTAATGGAGGACTCGCGTGACATTGGTAATTGAAAAACACAGATCGTTCAAAAATCATTCAGGCTTCGCAACGCTGCTCCCCTAGCCAGGAAGCATTCAAGGCCAGAAAATATTGACTGATGACAGCTTCCTGCCTTCCCCGTGAAGCTACTAATACATATTATTTTTGTCAGACACCCAAGCAGGAGAAGTGAAAGGCTCTCAAATTCTAATTCCTTTTTCTGAACAAAGGAGTCTGCTTTCCCAGGGAGAGGCCAGAGCACCAAGGAGATAAACAGCAAGTGTATTGAAAATGCCTTTGCAACTTAGAGCCAGGGGTTCAAAGCCTGCCGCGGTAGACGCTGCATGGGACTTGAGGAATTGGTGGGCGTAGGTTCCAGATCTGACTTTGGTATTTCCTGTGTTATTTGCGACGGGCCAGCTTAGCCGCCCTTGAATCTCGAGGTGCGGTCTCCACCTGGCAGCGCCTGCATCCCCTGGGAATTTGTCAGGGATGCAGCTTGTGGGGCCCCATCCAGCCAGGTGGTGGGGGCCATAACAAGCCCTGCAGCAGGTGTGGGTGCCTGCTCACACCTGAGCTTTCCACCAGGGGCTCAGTTTTCTTGTCTAAAAGAGAAGGCGACTGTTCTAGGTTACGTTTGCGGTCCGCTCCAGCTCTCCAGCGGCCTTGGCGTTTGACCCTGGAACGGTTTGAACGATTCTCTTCCTTAGACCTTGAACCTCACCATAGATGTGTCACTGAAATATTTCAGCTAAAAAACTGACACATGGGTCACCGAAGAGAGACGAATTCCAGAACACGACATCCAAAATACATCCTTGCGTGCTCACTATACAAAAATAAACTGTCCTGTCTTCAGCATTGCGTGTCATTCCCCAAAGTGAAGAACCCCGGTGCTTCAGAAAGGGAGGCAGCCAGGCCCCTTTCTGCAGGGGCTGAGGGCCTGTCGGCTGTGATTCACGGAGCAGCATTTCTGCAGCAACTAACAAATGGCATTTCAGAAGGATGCAGAATGGTACGCAGACTTTGCCGTAAAACAAGGGAAAATTTCAAGCCATTTATCAAAGCGCACGCAGTTTCTATTTCAAGACAGGTGGAAGAAATATCACGGAACAAGGGAAGAAAATAAATGTGTATCCAAAGCATCTCATAAATAAGGAAGTGAGGAGGGGGGACTGTTGGCCTTGCCAGGTTTTCAGAGTATTTTTGTCACCATGTAGAAAGCTTCCTAATCTTGCAGCATGTAATTCTTAGTCTTCCTGCGATCAAAATTCGTGGTTGTAAGGTGATTTCTCTGGCTATTAAAACCAAAAGAGAAGAAGGAAGCAATAATTTCAAGGGACGAGGAGCTGGGAAAATGGGAGCTGGAGTTGGGGGTGGGAGAGAGAGAGAATAATTTGTTGTCATTGAACAATGGTGATCCTTCGTAATTTAGGGCAAGTTCCAGAAAATGAAAGGAAATTTTCTGAGTGGCTTTGCTTTAGTAGCAGCCTATTCGTCACAGACAACAGAAATGGCTTGTTGAACATGAGAGAGACTTAGGTCTGTTATGTCTGGGTGGGATGGAGAAATTGCAGCTTTTATTACAAAGCATGGACAGACGCCCACTTTGCCTGAGTGAGTAATGACTGAGAACCGCAACAGTGAAGAACCTCTGCATTGGACATCTTTGTGAACTTCAACAACGTGGCACTAAAATCCTGGTTAAGAGTCTGTACTCTGAATATTAATTGACCGTAAAGGTGTGAGTTTGTTTCTGGGCTCTCCGATCTGGTCCATTGATCCATATGTCCGTTTTTATGCCAATACCATGCTGTTTTGATGACTGTAGCTTGGTAATATAGTTTGATATCAGACAGTGTGACTTCTCCAACTTTGTTCTTTTTTTCTCAAGATTGCTGTGGCTATTCATGGTCTCTTGTGGTTCCATTTAAATTTTTGGAATATTTGTTCTAGTTCTGTGAAATATGCCATTGGTATCTTGATAGGAATTTGCATTGAATCCATAGGTTGCTTTGGGTAGTATGGACATTTTACTAATGTTAATTCTTCCTATCCATGAATGCAGTGTATCTCATTCTACTTCTTTGTACCTTCTTCGGTTTCTTTCTTCAGTGTCTCATCATTTTCCAAGTACAGGCCTTTTACATTCTTTATTAAATTTATTCCGAGGAATTTTTTTGACACAATTGTAAATGGGGTGGTCAGAATCTGGCTCTAAACTTTGGGCCAGCTCCCCAGACACCCAGTGCCTCAGTTTCTTTCTCTGTCATGGGAAACAATAATAGAACCTACTTTTTTGGAGTTTTATGAGGATTAAGAGTTGGCAGGTACAAGGTGCTTTGCAGAATGCCTGGCACAACACAGGCATTATTTTATTGGGACTATTTGCTAAATAGCGCTAAGTTTCTTTAAAAGAATCCTAAAGATAAATTATATTGTTTCTTAACTGTAGACCTTTGGAAAGTAGCAGTGTCCTCTTTGGTGTCCCCAGTGTGTGCCTAAGGGGGGTATGACTGATAGAAGAAGGTTCAAGGGGACCCTGGGAGCCAACTCAAACACGACTGCTGACTCTTGAGCCGAGGGGACCTTCTCCTTGGTCAGCTTCAAGAACATATAGCTTTGGGGGGTTGTACAAATTAGATGAAGAACAACTAATTTTTGTCATTTGATTTCCTTTTTGGGTATTTATTTTTGGAAGAGACTCACAGGCCACCACTAGAAATAGATCTGAAATAAATGCCTTGTTTCTCTCTCTTCCATTTGACACACTTTTCTTTGTTGGCTGGACCATGCTGGGTAGCTGCTAATATTGATTAACCTATATTTTTCTCAAATAAACTTTTCTCAGGCTTTGTAGAGCCTAAATGCTAGCAGTACTAAAGCAAATGGTAGCAGTACTAAATGGGCTGGTGGTAATCTTACTGGAGCTGAGGTTTCCTCAGTAATAAATTGGGGACAGTAGTGCCCACTGCCTGTTTACTAGATGAGACAGTAACATGAAAAACATGAAAATACTCAGCAGATAATTTTTTTAAATGTTGCTTATGTTCATGAAAATCTAATGGATCGAAGTCAAAATAGTACATTTATGTGTAATGGGAGAAGTTCCACTGTTCTCCTCTAAAGAATTGAAAAATATGACTAAGTCTTTAATCGCAAGTCACTTTTTAGACAAAAATTTATCATTTATTTCCAGCATTTTGATTTCCCCCCACTGCTGAATACGAACCTGACCTTCTTACTCCAGGAAACATCAGGTTAAAGCTGAAGTCCCCTGCATTTGATATGTCCAGTGAATTGCATTTTTGTTACAATTATATTTATGTCATGAGATCTCTCTCTCTTACTATAAGTGATGATACTTTGCTATTTTAAAAACTTTCCGATATCCTAATAAAGGAATCAGGAAAAAAATGCTAAGTTAAAATACTGAAGTCACTGCACTGACTTAACTTGCTGTACAGTTGTTGACAGGGATGTTCTCAAAACTGGAACTGTGGCCAGCAGTTTGTTGTTTGTTAGCTCATAAATTCTTTTATTTCAAAATTTTCATCAGTGTGGGAGAGACAGCTTCCATACACTCTTACATAACATACAAAAGTGTGGGTTGTTTGAACCTTGAGCAAGTGAACAAAAAGGCCTTTCAGAAGTTGATTTAGAAAAAAAATTACAGTTAACCAAAATTTCCCTGGCAAATCAGAGAGCTGAGCTGCTTATTAAGGAGTATTTAGGAACAAAACAAAAATATGTAGCTTCATACAAATTACCTATCTTATGGGATAAAAGCAGCTTCTCTTTAACATTTCCTTTTTAGCTCTTTAACAAAATACTGAGCTCTCTTAAACCATCCACCATTCAGATACGGATTTTCAGGGCAGATATTAGTGATCATTTTTGACAATTAGCGCTGGAGAGTGGACAGGAGTCTTGTGTGTTTGCTGGGTGACCTTGAACATGTGGAGACCTTGCTGGGCATGTCTGCAACTGTTACTCGGCTTCCTGGTTTCCACCCCGTGGAAGGTGACCACGGGCCAGATCACTCCCCGAGAGCAGGCAGGCGTCAGGACCCTGTGGACAGAGCTTTTTTCATCAAGAGTCTGTGCCCAGAGGCCTGCAGTCGTGTAACTCTGGACGGTTCACAAATTCCAGGCACCAGAGGTCACACTGTACTGTCCCCTGGGGGCGTGAGGAAGCTAAGGTGTAGAAATGTCAGAGGCAGAGCCGCGGCCCCATCCCTGGTCGACCTTTCTCCCCAGTGGCTGTTGGCTCCACGGGCAGCACAGCCACCAGAAACTCAGTTTTCACATTATGTTCTTTTTCCTGCATTGCTACATCTAAGAATAATCCTATCCTTCGACCTCCAGCTGACTCTCCTAACCCCAGGTGTGAAAGCTGGTCTGGCCACACCTCGAGAGAGAACCCCCCCGCCACCGCCACCCCAACAGGTTTCCATGGAGATAAAACATGTCCCTCCTCCTTGATCATTTGGAGTTTGCCTTGTGGCACTCGGGTCTGGAGGAGGGGAGCCAGACCTCTGGTGGTCGGCCAGGCCTGCTGAGGAAGGAAGCTGATCCAACATTTTGTTCTTACCGCAGAATCACGTGAACCCAGCCATGGACTTCACCCAGACGCCGCCCGGGATGCTAGCCCTGGACAACATGCTGTACTTCGCCAAGCAGCACCAGGACGCCTACATCCGGGTAAGCTTGCAGTCCCCCCAAGCTGGTCCCGATTTCCTGCTGACCTTGAGTTTCAAACTTACAGGTGTGGCCGTACTCCCTTGAGATGGGTGGCCCCAGATTTTTGGCCTTCATTACTCTGTCAAGGAAAAATTGAAATAAAATCAATCAGGAGCAATGAAGTATAGACTTTTAACCTCTAAGTACTTTCCATATGATGACATTTAAAAATACAGTAATCCTGAGAAACTGTTTTATGTGGTTCAATATTTAATTATGACTAAAGTTCTTAGACATAAATAACAGGGAAGGGAAATGAACTCTCTACCAAAAAGCTGCAGGGCTCCAGCTTGAGTGGAGACTCTTGGACTCTTCCACGTCTTGAAGAGGCGCAGGACTCTCTCTGGTCCTGTTTCCGTCTGGCACAATGCTGGGGATACAAGGAGCTGAACAGAAAGAGAAGAACGTGAGAGCTGGGGACCGGGGCGGGGGCAGGGGAGGCTCCAGCTATCCAGGTAGATTTCTTTGTGGGTGCAGCAGAGGGAGAGTAGAAGATGCTGCCCGCTGATTGGGCAGTGCAGCTGTGGGCGGGACCCAGGGAGGATGAAGGGGACCGTAGGGACAGTGACAGAGAAGGCTGCCACACTGGCGTTCCTGGATTCGTGCTGACCCTGATGCCTGTCCTCCGGGCGAGGTGTAACCAGTTCGAGATTGGCCAGGAGTAGGATGGGAATGAAGGGACGGGAGACCTTGCGGGCAGTTAGAAGGATGGCTGGATCGCAGCTTAGACAGCGATGAATGAGTTGTCTAACGCTGGAAGAGTAGGGCTGAAATTAGAATAAGGGGAGTCTGCTAGCCTTGTGTTTTCTCTTCATCCCTTGTGGTGGCATTGGCTCTGGGGACCCAGCACCGTGGTTGTCTAGGGATGTGAATGTGGGCAGTTCCTTTTGGTCTGGGCTAAAATTTCTTGCCTGAACAAGGGGGCAGTGTTCCCCTGGCGGGCATTTGGAAATGTGTGGGCGAGTTCCTTTGGTTGTCACCATGCCCTATGGGGGCCACTGGCCCAAACCTGTCATGCAGGGACAATCTTCACAATGAAAAACTGTCCTACCCAGCAGCGGCCCCTGGAAAAAGTCAAGCCAGGCTTTGGAATCCGTGCGGGCGCTATATTTTGGCCTGATGAATTTTTCTATATGTGCAATTTGATAAGTTTTGACGTCTACTGAAATATTATTTGTAATTTGATTATATGAAGGATTTTATGCGTTTCTCTGACACATGTGAGATCAGGTGCTTGGCCAGAAATGCAGTCTTCCATAAGGAAATTGTTTTCTTCCTGTTTTATTGAGAAATAATTGATATATATCACCACTGTATAAGTTTACGACATAGAGCATGATGGTTGGATTTACATACCTGGTGAAGAAACATTTTTTTAATTAAAGTTTTATTTGGCTTGTAATGTGTATATATTTATTGCACAGATTTTTTTTTTCTAGGAATGTAATCTGCTCTCTAGGAGTCAATTAATATTTTTGAGATACCGTGTAGTATAGCCTGGAAGAATTGTGTGTGAGAAGAAGCCATGTAGAAATTGAATTTAGAATTAATGATTAATGTTTGTGGATGAATGTTTCTAAAATTAGAGCTCATTGGTGCTGAATATATTGTTAATTGCATAAGAAGCATATGTTTTATGAAAAATAATTGAATGTTTTAAGCCCATTTTCTTCAATGCATTCTTTAAACTGTTGTAAGTGCAATGATATGCTGGAAACCTGATGGAACTTTATATGTAATAGGGACTTAAAGGAAGAACCTATTTATTATGCCCTGGCCAGGTGGCTCGGTTGGTTGGAGCATTGTCCCATGGACCGCAAGTTTGCAGTTTTGATCCCCAGTCAGGGCACGTACCTAGGTTGTGGGCTCGATCCCTGGTTGGGGTGTGTATAGGAGGCAACTGATGGATGTTTCTTTCTCTCTCTCTCTCTCTCTCTCTCCCTCCCTCCCTCCCCCCCCCCCCCATCTCTCTCTAAAATTAATCCTTGGGTGAGGATTTTTAAAAAAAAAGAACCTGCTTATTTAAAGTATAGCCCTTTTGGCCCCCGTGCCCTGTTACTTATTGGTTACACATTCCTATAACTGCCACTCTCATTATTTTCTCTAAAAGGTCCCTTTCTGTGCCCCACCTGACTTTGAATCTGACGGGATGGGAGGCTAACGCTGTGCGTACGGACAAGGCCACGGCAGCAGATACGCGGTCCGAGACGTTCCGCAGGAAGGCTTTGTGGTGACTGCGAAAGTGTGGCACAGATACTGAAAATAGCTCAGACAGCTCATTAAGTGTTGATCTATGGGCTGAGCCGTCTCTTCGGAAGCATAAAATGGGTTCTTTTTGCTAAGTTTACATTTCGATAAAATTTGCTGGGTTTTGTTGTTGTTGTTGTTGTTGTTTGTTTTTTTGACCAGGGAAATTTCCTGTCTCAATGCCGTGATTTGTTTATTAGTTCTCGCTGCCATTCAGTAAACACTTGTTCTGTGCCCGGACACGGCCCCACCACCCCCTTGCCAGGCAGATCTGTGTGTGAGATTTTTAAAGCGAATCGTCACACACACTTGCCTCGCAGGTGCAGGCGTTCCCTCTTCGAGCCGGACTCCCCCTCCGCCGTCGCGCTGGTTCAAACGCTGTGCCTTCGCAGGTCCCCAGGCTGTCCTGGGTGTCTTGTTCTGACTCGCCTGACACGCACTGTGCCGCACCCTGCGCCCTGGCGGCCCCCGTCCCCGTCCGGAAGGGAATTGAGGCGTCCCTGTCCGCCTTCATCTCAGCCGCCCTCCCATCCTCGCTGGCCTCTGTTTACCACCTACTGTTCTCTCCTGCTGCCTGTCTTGCTCCTCTTGGCTGCCTCTCTCCTAGTCTCTCTGGTGCGTTTTGCTCCCTTTGCCTGACCATCAAAAGACTGTGATCCCCAGGGCTCTGCCTGTGGATCTTTTTTTCGGTCCCTCAGGCTGTACAGATTTACTAGATAACCATCCGATGTCCCTCAATGAGCTAGGGGACGGGGGCTCCCCAAGGACCAAGTTGCTCCTGAATCCTGTCATTGAGAAGCTTACTGTCTAGGAATGGGAAAGAGGGTCGGGGTAGGAGGAAGAGGTAAGTATCAGGGACTTTCTGAGTCAACTGGGAATGTATTTTGATTGGGGAGGTGGGGAAATTGGGGACCCAGAGGAGAGTCATCAACACAGGTGTGGAGGTCCAATCGGGAAAGCTTCCTGGAGGAAGTGGTACCTACTCTAAGGTTTATTGGACAGTTCTGGTTCATTGAGTGAAGGGAAGCGGGGTGGAGGAGTACTCCCAGCAGGGGGAAACGGTGAGCAAAGGCAGAAGGCATGTGCTTTGTCCAGGGAACCAAAAATAGTCCACAGCGTGTCTGCAGGAGGGAGGGCTACTGTGGACCCCGGCTGGAGAGGCAGAAGGAGGCTAGTTCCCGGGGAATCTCTTAGCTACAGGATGGTGTTTGGACTTGAACCTAAAGGCAGTGAAGAATTTCTGAAGTGTGTTAAATAAAGATGATGAGAGTTATTTTTAGAAACATCACTCTCCTGCCAGGAAACAAATGTGAGAAATTGCAACTAGCAGCAAAAATAAAATTTGGGAAATTACGGAGAAGTGACAGTAATCCGAACTAGGGTGGTGGCAGTGACACTGGGGAGAAGCAGCTTGAACGATTCATTTCGGAGCGAAAATGAACTGGACCGTCTCCGAGGAAGACAGAGGGAGATGGCTGGCTTGAGCCAATGGGCGGACGGCAGCGTCCTCAGTGAAAAAGTGCAGCGCTGTACGGGGGTGCTCCTGCGGAGCCCCCAGACCGTGGTATGCATGTGGGACACCTTTGTGGGCGGACGTGTCCAGCAGGCAGTGAGGGAGGGCAGCAGAGATCAAGTCCACGTAGGCGCCACATTCTGTGTGTTCGAAGTCCTGGTCCCTTTGAACCCACTCCATGACCGCGGCTGGGAGGCCCTTTCTGAACCGAGTCCTGTGTCGGGGATCAGCGCTGGCCTGCAAGCCCATCTCCTGCGGAACCTGCCACAGAGTGGGTTTTCGTAATTTCCTGTTAGTTAAGTGAGTAAAGAGTTTGTTTAGTTTCTTTTTAAAGGGTCTCTTGCCAATGATCAATTTATTTTTTATCATCCTAGAATCCTGGCCTTTGTGCTGTTAGCACTTACTACCTGGAGGTATATTTTTGAACATGAATTTATTGACGGGCAGCCTGGTTTTGCATGCGTGCTTTGAATAAACTCCGTAGCTGGGCACTGACGTGAGTTGTGGATGTAATTGAATTACCCCCACGTGGATGGGCCCAGAACGCGAGGAGGGATTGTGAGTCAGAGCAGCACCCCCGTGCCGGGGTCACCTCGGGAGTCCTTGCCTGACTTCAGCCTTCTGGGCCTTAGTGCCTCTGGGCATGCGTGCCTCTGCCCCTCCTGCAGACGCTTCTCCCGGCTCCCCCGACCACGGCCCGTCTGTGAGGCGCAGGGCTTGCCCCCGCGGTCCTGCTCTCATTAGTCTACAGACAGGACAGTGACACGCACTGAGCATGGCGTGGCTTTGCCTTTTTTGTTGTTGTTCTTTTTGTACTGACAAGCTTAGTGTCTCCACTGGAAGTAAAACCTTTAGACTTACAATATGCATCCTTGCTCTGTTTAATTATTCACTGGGACCTCCAGAGAAACCCAAATGACTTGGTTCTCATTGGGTTCAAGGTTCATACTATTGGGGGAGCCGAGTTTCAGACACAAAGTAGGAAGGGAGGGCAAGGGAACCTAAGGTTCCCACATACACGATGGCCAGCTCTGAGGTGGAAGTGGAACCCTAAAACATACTCAAGAAAAATGCAGCAACTAGCAGAGTGGTTTCAGGATGAAGCGAATTCTTCATCAGAATAATGCTCATCCCTTGTTTGATCAGAGAAGATGAGTACTTAGTGTGGGTTGGGTAACATACGAGAAATGTTCTATAAATT